ATACTTTGAATCTTACGCGGGAGAAAACCCGAATAACCAAAGATCCATATATATATATATATATATGTGTGTGTGTGTGTGTGTGTGTGTGTGTGTGTGTGTATGTATGTATGTATGTATGTATGTATGTATGTATGTATGGCATTCAGCTTTGTTCGGGTATTTTCCCACGTCATTGTAGTTGTGCTTTTAAAGTTGTAGCAACGTTTCGGCAGAATCTCATCTGCCATCATCAGGCTTCTGTATAGTGTTCATCTGTGAGTCAGACTTTTACAGTGGTTTTCAACTATTCTATAGTAGTTGAGAAATATTTATCTATAGTTCCATCTGCACATATGGAAAGGCAAGTTTGAAGAATAGTCTCAGAATCCAAGCCTAGGGATACTTGTCAGGAATCATTTTAGAACTCGGATGGAGTAGCAGTTAAGAGATAATCTGTGAAAATCAGTAAATCTTTTTTTCAAATTCCATTTTGTAGCCATTCTTTAACAAAAGTCCATTTATTCTTTTATTGCTATATTAACCAAGGGTCTGCACTATCTTATATCTTTCTCACATTCAGTTAATTGGTCTTAGAGATTTAAACAATTTTAAATCCTCATTAGGACTTGATGGTATCAAAATAAAAGGTAATAGGAAAAAAGATTGGCATACTGCAGAAGTCCCTTTGTCGTTCAAGGGAACTGCTTTTAAGTCATTATTTGAGGGTAAGAGGGCAAAATGAAAATGCTTTATGTTTGTTGGCCATATCAACATTTTCTACCTTTTAGAAAAGAACTAGAAGCTAATATATCTTTCTTGCAAAGTTTGTGCTGGGGCCTTTAAAAAACCCTCTATTTTAAAAGAGCACTTCGGGTTTCCTCTCCGCTGATTTTATCTTGCTGATTTTATGTTTCCTATTGAGTAAATATACTTTGGTATTGTCTTAATTTTTGTTTTTTACCTATAATATTAATAGTTTATTGTTTGAATTAATTATTAAAAACTAATTCAAAATATATAAAAAGGCACAATATTGGTAATAATACACTACTTGTCACTGTAAATGTTGAAAATCATAATGAAATAGTGCATAACACAAAAAGCTTTAAATCTGATTTTTTTATTTGTTTCAGGTTATTTTACACATTTCCCCCAAACAATATATTTTGGGAATTGACAAACTTAGATTATATGCCATCGTGAAGACATTTCATTTTAATTCATATTACTTGGGAGGAATTCCAACCTCTTTAAGAGAACGGTGAGTGACAACCATCTTGAAGTTAGGGACTGGTGCAGAGTGGTGAGGGTGTGCATGTTAGGCCCTGGCCATGCTGAATGCATTCTGGCCCCTGGATTGTGGTTTAGCTAGAGACTGTTGCCTTTCTTGGGTTTGGAATTGATGTCTGGTATGGATATTGTCATCATCTAGAAGCAACATTATATAGTGACTGAGGTGCATTTGGCTTGATATAGGTTAAAAGTTCTTCATGCTTGATGCAAGTTAACAGCAAGAATAGAACATCCAGCTGGATGACTAAATAATTCTTTCTTTCTTCTAAGCTGGAATGAAGAATTTTTAAGTAAAGTTTTTCTTTCTGGAAATTGAGCTTGCCGTTCAAATGATCTGGGGATAACATACAATCATAATAATTTTTTTTCCAAAAAAAGAAAGGACTTTTCAGGGGGGGGGGTGATTACAGTTTTAGAATATATATATGGATTCCAGAATTTTCCATAGTATACTTTTTTTCGTACAAAAAATGCATTTGGTATAAATATATGCAGTTATAAATAATGCTAAGAAAAGTTTATTTTCTATATATAATTTTAAAAATACCTTATTCTTTGAATAAATATATATTTTGAAGAGAAGCACACAAACATAATTTAGAGATGAGTAAGAATCATTTGTTTTCTCCTGTATGGTGAATTCTGCTTTCAACAGTCCGGTCACCACAGACACTTAGAATTAAACTTCAAACAACTTCAAAGAGGGTGTAAATTCTTTACCCTGATTTTACAGCCATTGCAAAGTTTATTTGCAGTATTTATTGGATTTTTTTTACCCCACTTTTATTATTTTTATAAATATCTTAAGGCAGTTAACATACTTAATGCTTCTTCCTTTTCCTATTTCCCCCACCAACAACCCTGTGTGTGAACTGGACTGAGAGACAGTTATTGGCCCAAAATCAACAGCTGGCTTTCATGCCTAAAGCCGGACTAGAACCATGGTCTCCTGCTTCCTAGCCTGGTGCCAAGACCAAATACTAGACCAAAGAGGCAATTACAACTGCAGATATAGTTTATGGAATTCATTCTGCTAGCGGAATGACAAAAGACAAGATATTTCCATAATACCAACTTTAAAACTGTGATTTGCTGGTTGCTGTAATTTACTTATTTTTGAAAGCAGGTTTAATATATCCACACCACCATTTCGTGGGTGCATGAAGAATATTAAAACCTCATTTGAACGTTCTATAAGCTTCTCTGACAGTTTTGGTGTCAGCAGAAAATGCCCGGATGACTGGAAGGTAAATGACTTATTTTATTACTTGGCATTACTCCATAATGTTCACAATACTTTTTATCATAATTCCTTTTAATTATTTAATCATAATGCCTCTAAATATTTCTAAAAGAAGACTTGCAATGGGATTTATGGTCCTATATGATCCAGAAATGTATAAATCTCACCATATGAGAGATCTGTTAATCTTATTATAAATAATAGAGAAGTAACCAGAATAAAGATTACTCACTTCATTTTAAAAAGAAATTATTTATCATCTACTTGTATTTTTTAGCTGATGAGAACTGCAAACTTTTTCAAGAATGGAGTTCTTGACTTAAGTGATCAAGATTTTCCATTCCCTGATAATTTCCAAGTTGGATTTGGTTTTCACACATTGGCAGATAATGGAATGCTATTAAGTTATAATATACGGGTAAGAAAGGTTAATTATCTTTTGCTGTCTTTTAAAATACAGTCAAATTGGTTTCCTACAAATGCAAAATCTCAATATTTAAAAAAATAGGTCTGTTTCTTTTTCTTCCTTTCAGCTTGCCGATTTTACCGTTTTCCTAAGAAATGGCTATGTAATTGTAAGCCTGGCTGATGAAGAAATCCAGTCTAGCAAAAAATGTGAAATTGGTTCAATGCATTACATAACAGTGATAAAAGAAGACGATACGTATGTTTGAATGATTATTGATGCTTTGGTCAAAACATAATTTTATTGTTTAATTTGATGCTTAGTTGTGAATGCTTAAACTGCATTAGAAGTAATATGTCATTGGATTTGGATTCTGAGAATGATTTGTTTTTCACAGAGGTATTTTTGAATATGACAACATTATCAATAATAAAATACAAAATTACTGTGTTGGGGTGGCATTTAGTTTGTAAGCCAAACTACATAGTGATGTGGTATATAATGAGAACTTCAGTAACAGTTCCTAGAAGGGGATGTACAAATGATTTAATTAAATAATTAAGTATTATTTCTGTATTATAATAGTTTTGCCCTGATAATTTCACTTTTATGTGCATTTTTGTCCTCCTAGGCTGAAGCTATTATTTGATGATATGCCTAACTCAAAAACAGTTGTAACTCCTGAAAGAAATTCAATGAATCGACCAATAAAACTGGGTGGAAACAACTTTGAAGGGTGTATGTCCAATATCTTTATTGAACGGTAAATCTATTATGTAATCATAGTTTATATATGGTAATCTATTTAATAGAGCAAACCACAAAAATTTCAACATGATTTTTAAAAGTACTAAACACCCAATGACCCATTGAATCATCCTTTCAGATATATTTGCAAGTGCAGAGGGACTGGCAGGGATTGTATGGGTATGGGAGCAACTTGTGACCTTCCCTGCAGAGTTTCTCATTGACTTTCTCCCTTCAAACTTCCCAGGAAGGAAGTTGCAATTCCAAACCCACTAATATGCTCCCACCATTAGCCAGTCATGTGATCTTTTCCCCTGCAATCTTGCCAGAATAACTCTGTTATTCTGTTCTGTTCTGCTTCCCTATTGATTTGTGGGAAGATGTTAGGGAATGTTGTAAATGAAGACCACATGACTATGGCAATGATGCTGTACAGCAGCAGTGCAGCAGCACTGAAACAGCAAGAACCTTCCAAAATTTCACTCCTGTGGGAATAATGGGTCCCTGCATTCTGTAAGTTAATGCTTTGGTTGAACCAAGTTAAACCTTGGTTGAAAAGGTTTGTCCTATGATGCACCGTTTCATCCAGTTAAAAGTTACAGTCACAAGAGTTTTAGTGGAATATAGATTTTCATTATGTTTTAATGACCAAACAGATTTACAATAGCATGCCATATTAGAAGAAGATAAGGCTATATTATGCAGAGTGCCAGTCATCATTTTTTAATCAATTGTATTACTTCTGTTTTCCTTAGTGTTTTCTGGTCACCAGGAAGGGTGATCCAGGAGAAAGTATACAATATACATGTGATTAGAACTGTATCACATCATCAAATACATTTTGTAGTGTATCTTAGTGTTTTGTCTGTGCCTGTTTACTTTGAGTTCAAATCTCTAGGATCAGATAGGGTTTTGTTTCTTCTTTTTAAAAATATTTATTTAATTTTAGAAAAATACTTTGTCCTGTGTGGTCCTGGAGATTTAAATTCAAAGTAAATATGGTAGGCAGCTCTTGTCCATGCCTCTCTAAAACTTCAGTCCTTCCCTTTCCAAGTTTGCAGCTAATGTATTATTCAGATGAACAGCTAGTTCATTTATTCTTTTCCTTTTATTTTGAATATATTGAAATAAGCCTTTTTTGTTATTCCTATGATCCTTCTTTATTCATATCATGCTTTGCTTTCAGCAAGTTCTTTTTCTTAACTAATCTATATATGCAATAATCAGTATCATTATTCTTTTATCTCCATACTAGTTCACAGTCACCTGCTCAGGTTCAAAATTTAACCGATTCGGTTAGGACAAATGTGTCTCTAGGGTTTTGTATGATTCCAGAACGACAAAAGCCAATGCTGTTGAAAGAATTACCAGATACACCCCATCCAAAGATTTCAAAGGTTGGAAATTAAGTTTTGTTAAAAAATTATTTAATTTTTATGAATTCTGTTATACTGTACAACTGTATATAAAATTTGCTATTACCTATTTTTATCATGAAAAATAATACAGAAAATAAACAGCAGGACCATGTAAAATTATAAGCAACAAAAAGAATGCAACAGCAGCAGTAAAATTCAACCAAAATTTGGAGGGAATAAATCTTCACTTGATACTGAAAAATTATAAGCCTAAATACCAACTGCAACTGATAGGGGTACAATTAGGGCACATATATTCAGAACAGTGTCTGCAGTATTGTCCCATAATTAATAGCAAATTATCAACATTAAGATAGCAACTGTTCATGGGAGAGCAGTTAGAGATAATTCAATATAATAGGTATTCCATGTCTATGCACTGATTTTAGATGAGATGGGAAACATCCTCCACCACTTGTATCTCAGAGTACAGCCTTTTCTTTTAGAGGGTGTAAAAATAGCAGTCTGGTTATAAGCTACAATTGAAACTGAAGCTCATTTTTTTGGCCACCTAATGAGAAGAGAGGACTTGTTGGAAAAAACCCTAATGTTGGAAAAGATTGAAGGCAATAGGAGAAGGGAATGGCAGAGGATGAGATGGTTAGAGTGTCATCGATGCAATGATCATGAATTTGGGCAAACTCTGGGAGATAGTGGAGGATAACCATATATGAAAGATATATGAATATATATTTATGGTATTTAATTAAAAGCAAATGGTATAAGATCCTTATAGACCCCTCTTTTTTTCTTTAACTAAAAATGACATCTCAGTAATTTTCATAAACTGATAGACTGCTGTTTTACAATGCTGTCATTTGCAAGTGTCATCACCTTTAATAAGAATCATTCAGGATTGTAGCACTAGTCAGTAAGAATAACTTGTTCATTGAATTATAATTGTATCTATAATCCATTTATAAAACAATAAGAATAAAGTAGAATTAAGTATGTAAGTTAGTATATATACCCCCAATTTCTAAACAGTCTTCCAGTGTTAATAAAAGACTTGTTCAAACATACAAAAGGAATTCTTTAAACATGGTATAATCGTTACAGAATGAATTTTTTTTTACATCTTATAACAATTAATTTGCAATCATAAAATCAAACAATATCCCTTTCTGTTATTTTGTTGGTTTCCAAATTAGTGGAATATAAAGTATACTTTAAAGAACAGAACAGAAGCTACCATGTTTCTCCAACAATACGGCCTCCACCAATAGGAAGCCCCACCATGTTTTATTGGCATAAAATCAAATTAAGCCCC